CAAATAAGCACACAGAATAGCTGGAAAATATTTTCATAAGAGCGAGGCAGAACACGAGCATACTAGCACTTCAGAGAGGGAGCGCAGGTCTGGTTGGCTTGGAGAACTTGAGAAAGTAAGTAATTTTTTGAGGAGATGGCGAAATCGGCTAAGCAGTGCTTAGAATGTATGGTAATGTGATGTTCTTTCCAAATGGCTGAGCGTTGAGCTGGAATGCATATACCTGCTTGATGTACTTTCTCTTTATGTTTCTTCATTTACACCCCTCCAGCAGCACACACCACCCCCTCTCTCACACTCTCCCTCCCTCAAGTGTACTGTCACTGGGCTGAAATCACACCTGTGCTTCTCGCACATCTCGGCACACGGGTGAAACATACGCAGGGTGAAACATGGTGAGGGAGCTTTGCTGAATCTCATTAGCCAAGCAGGTAGTCATTAACAGAATGACCTTTGGAAATAATTACCAGCCTTCCTCCTGCCATCCCTCTTTCCCTCCCTCCTTCTCTTCTCACACTCATCCATCCCTCTGTCCCTCCCGTCCCCCTCTCATTCAATAGCTTTTTTTTCTGGGTAAGGACAGAGGGAGGGAAAGTGAAAAAAAAAGAGTTGAGGATAGGCAGGGAGTCACATCCCTGCTGCTGCTGTTTAAGATTACAGGGTGAGCTGAACTTTCAGATTAGGTTAATCTGCTGGAAATGGGATTGGCCAGTGGCCATCCTCTGGCAGGTAGGCAAGCATGCAGGTCACTTCAGTACCAAGAGCCATGTGCTATTCCATGTGATACTTGAGCCAATGGCATCGGAGCGTGTGACCCTGGCTGAGGTCATCACAATGCCATTAGTGCTGCAGGGTTTGAGCCAATTGTCACTGTGTATGTACACACACATACACCCATGCAGTGAGGCCACTGTGAGAGCACACCTACACAGCAAACACATTAGTGTATTTGTGTGTTTAAGCACATATATGCTATAAGTGTGCATAGAGGCACACAAACACTTTTTCATTTGCGGGTTTTTTTGGGTTCTTTTTTTAGGTGTTGAGGCGATATATCTTCAGATCACCACACACTCACTAACCCTTCAGTTGTTTCAAAAACCTGTGTTCTTTGTTTCAACAGCGGGGGAAAACAAGCACATTGTAGAAGAGGGATTTGGCAAAGCCGAAGTGCGTTGTTGGATTTGGGGCTGTTCGATCACAGCAAGACCCAGCCAATGCTTCTTAGGTTTGGGATAGATCTGCAATCATCAGGAGGGGAAGAAAGGACTCTTTCATGTGCTATTGCAATTAACAACCCCCATACCGGAATATAAATCACCAGTAACGGCTCAAAGTGATTGTTCTTAAGCATGAATAAAACCAGCGAAAAAGCGAGTGATGAATCTATTCTATTGTCATTTCCCAACACAGCTTACCATTTCTCCTCTAATGCTGTTCACATGTACAGGAAACTGGCCTGGCAGACAGAGAGTATAGGAAATCTATCTGCATGTTTGACTGTTTTATCCGGAGCCAGACTCAGAGTGTGCTGTAGACCTGCCAGGACGGCACACTTGGAACCTGCACGGACATCAAATGATGGAGGGTCTGCCTCTGTGTTTGCTTTCATCGAGCTACTAGAGAGAGATCAGCTTGGATGTGTTTTTGAACACTTAGCATTAATTAAGTGGACTTCTCCGTATTTTTATGGAAGAGCTACATATTATGTTTTTATTTAATCCAGTCACTGGAGTCTGAGTGGGCTAACAGGTCCTACATGAAATAGGATTAAATTGAAGAGTGTATAAGACTAACTTAAAAAAAATCCTCACTTTGTTTCTAATTGCTACTCCATTGATTAGTATATGTCTTTCAGTTCATTCAATTTTATTTATATAGCGCCAGTCGCCTCAAGTCGCCTTTATAGTATAAGATAAAGACTACAATAATAGAAAGAAAGGCCCAAACAGTCTAAGAAACCCTTTGAGCAAGCACTTGGTGACAGTGGGAAGGAAAAACTCCCTTTTAACAGGAAGAAACCTCTGTCAGAGCCAGGGAGGGAGGAGCAGGTTGGGGGTGATGGGAGAAAGACAGAATAAAAGACACTGTGCACTGTGAACATAATTTCCATTAGTGATGTCTCTTTTGTTTCACCACTTCTCTCACAGGAGGGTTAGCTTTGGTTTATTGTTCTTTTGCTTTCTCATATATTTGAACAAGTGTTGTTCCTAGATGAAACGGTTTTGCGGTGAGTCATCAGACCTTCTTTACTACTCCTCTCTTTCTTTTTTCTATTTCCTACTTCTGTCTTTCAAATAAATAAACCCACTGACCCAAACATAAATTCTATATAATAATAATAATAATGAAAAAAAAAAGAATAGCTTAGCGACTCCAATGAGAAAATAGATACAGAAGAGAAAGGCAGACTAGAGTGAGAGAGGTAGAGAGAAAAGCCCTCCAGCCTCTTGTAAACATGCTGTTGCTAGAGAGGCTGTGCAACGTACTCAGTGCCACTCTCTCAACAACGCTAATTATCAACCAAAGACATGCTAATTACATAGAGCTTTATTGCTAATGTAGCGGGCCTCTATGCCAGCCGCCCACACTCTGAGCTCCGCTCCCCTACCTCTGCCTCTCCTCCCACTACACCTTCAGGCACAGCAGCAACAGAGGAAGAGAGATGCATGCATTTGAGCATAGTGGCAGAGACAAGAGCTTTCTACAAATTTGAAATTAAATCTGACATATATACGACTTCATATTTAAGATTTTTATTTTATTTTTTTGCTTTGTTTTGTTACACTTTAAAATCAGCGCCTCATCTTGTTAAGAACCTCCTCTTTTCCTTTTCATCATCCTGCCATCTCAAGAGGAAGTCTGCTCTGCTCCTTACTTAAAACTCAACACGCCACCCATGTTACTGCAGCTTTGACGTCGGCACACATGGCTTGTAGGAAAAGATCTGACCATGCTGTTCCCCTTTGTTCCCCCTCCCTCTCTGTACCCCCCCATCACCCACACCCCCCCTCCCTCCCTCCCACCCACGCTAAACGTGCTAGTGTCAACCCTGTGGCCAATCCCTTTAGCACACCGCAGCTCAGGCTAAAGGCCTCTTCAGGTCGATTTCTCCCGCTGTGAGTCTCTCAGAGATGGCAGAGCTTCCGTTCTCCAGGGATCACATTATATGTAGTGCTTTATAGCACTCTCCCCCCACCAGGCTCTTTACCATCTCCCCCTGACATGGCTGTTTACACGTTAGCTATCCTCTGCTCTCTAATGGAGACAGTTAGAGAAAGAGCTTCAAAGCAGGGAGCTCTTGTCACAAGCACTAGTTATACATCACTCTCTTCATGGGTTCAGCTGGGGAAGGATAATAAACTGACTACAGAGTGAGTGAAAGACTTGGTGAGCAAAGGACACCTGTGCTGAGAGGCAAACTGGTGATAAAAGTATGCAAAAATTACTAAAGGCATACAATTAAGGAGTATGAAACTCCGGCAATTGATAAGTATTTCTAGTAACATTAAAAAATAAGCTGTGGTTACACACAGTGTTTGACAAAGATCATCATTAGCTAATGCCTAATGCACTTAATGTACAACAGTAGTACAGCATTTCTTACCACATAATTTATTTTGGCTAACTCCAAACATGACATGTAGAAAACGTGGGCAATATGTACATGTACATGTGAACACCAGTTGATGTTAGATGGGCATGAAGCCCAGTAACAGCCATATGGAAAAAGTCTCATACTGTTCTGTCCTGTGTTAGAGTGGCCAACCGCTTCATAATGTTAATGTTTTTATTTATTTATTTTGTGTATCTTCCATGAACATAACCAGGTGACCTATCATTTGCAAGCAAAATATGTTGTGAATCAGTTGTATTCTACAATAACAATTGATTTAAAAATAGGGGATTATATATGGACACAGACTCGTTTCTTAACCTCAAAGTCCTAAACAGTATTTATGTAGTATTTACTGTCACAATAGATTGCTCTAAAATTAAAATGGGATACATATTATTCTACTTGTGCTATTGTGTTGGTCGGTGGGTAGAATTGGAAACATCAAACATAAAGAGGATTTTAATTCTGGTTAGCAGGCAAATGTATGGAATTAGCAAATGTTGTAGTAAAATGAGTCTAATTAAATCTGGATTTATATATTTAAGGATTCTGTGTAACAATAAAGACAAAGAGCAGGGATTCTAATGTTCATATATATACATATATGTAATATCCATTCAGGATTGCTTTGTGGGGCAGGCACACTTACATTTGCAAAGCACAGTGTGAGCGTAATTAAGAGAGAGAGCAGGGGAAAGGGATAAACTTCACATGACTGCATTCATGTTTGTGTGTGGCCCACGAGGTCAGAGCTCCAGAGTGACTGTTGCATAACAGGTTCACGTTGAAAGCTTAAGGATTCAGGAGGGTGCTAGCGTCATTTCCTGCTTTATCTACCTGCCTAGTGGCGTGGCTGACAGCGCTGTTTAACATCGCCTTGAGCCACTCTAGCGACATGTGTCCAAAGCAAGTCCGATCAACATCCTCCTCTCACAGGCACATCAATGGTGACAAGACACCAAGGGCACAGCGTGGTGATTACACACCACAGGTGACAGTCTAAAAGGCCCAGATCAATGATAGGCTACTTCTTTTATGCTGCAAAGTGCAGGCGACACAAGAAGGCAATTTGAATAAACATACTGTCTTGAAATTAATGACTTATTGTGAGTCTTAAAATAAGTTTTTCTAACAGTGATTGATAGTGGTACTGAACCCTTGGGGAAAAGTGACAAACTATGGGAGCAATTATTTTGTACACTATGTTAGGTGTGAAGACTAAAAGAGAGAAGTAAGGGTTGCTGAATGAGTCACAAATGCTGTAACCATCTGTCTGCTTGTGCGTTTGCATGAGCGTCCATGTCTGCGCCCGAGCGTGTGCTCCTGTGTGGCTGTGCGCATGCACGGGTGTGTGTGCCGTCTGTGTTTTCTTGTAGCTTACCTCCACAATATCAGAGTTGGTCCTGCTCTCATGGGGCTCATTGTACTCAGTGTATTTAAGCAGGACCTTGTCCATGTCTGTGCTGGCATACTGGAACAGCTTGTTGGTGCTGTTGAAGATGATCAGGGCAATCTCACAGTCACACAGCACGCTCAGCTCATACGCCTTCTTCATCAGGCCAAACTTTCTCTTTGTAAATGTCACCTGAGTGAAAGGAGAGAAGAAGGGAGAAGAGGGATTTGTGTTTAGTTTACTTTTGTGGCACACTTACAATCAAACTAGGCTGTCTTATCTGACTTGTTATAAGAATTTGATTATGACAAAAAAAAAAAAATCCCCCACCCTGAACCGCTTCGCTTGCAATGAGAGAATAAATAGGAATTTGACACCGCAACTTTCCTCTTTAAAAATTTTGAGTTTTCAGGGAAATGGCATTAAAGGAAAGTGAAGTCTGCTAATAGTTTAACACCCACTGACTGTAACAGTCTATCCACTATACCAGGAAAAAGGAAAAAAAGAAGCTGGGCTTGCATTTAAGGAACTGAAAATACTCTGTCTCAGTCAGATAACGGTAAAGAAGGTCAGTTATTGCTTGTACATCAAAGCACACAGAGTCTCATCCTGGAACATATGTCAAGTTAAATTGTCTTTTTTTCAGATGGTCCGAATGTGTGCTTCTGCACAAAAGAAACACACACTATTTTCATCTAAAAATGAGCTGAGATTAACCGTTTTCCATGTAGCGACATTAACACTAGCTCGGTTATTGTCTTGCCCAATTAACCGAGTCTCATAGCAAATAACAAGCAGTGATATAAATAACAGATAGCTTCCTCGACCATACTTAAAGCACTTAGTCAGCGCACAGATCGTGATAACGCGCTTAACTTGAACCACAAAAAGTGTCTCTTTCCCCTCTCTCTTACTGTTCCTTCATATATATATATATATCTGTGTGTGTATGTGTGTGAAGCCCAAGACAAGTACCTTTAGTAATACAGGCACACAAGGACCAACACTGTCAAAATAGAACAGCCTTATTCCTCTATTGTTTGAATCAAAACTAGAACAGTGAAAGTGAGTTAATGCCAGTGAGCTGCACCTGGTTTCTTTTCCAAGCCATGTGTGCGCACTCTTTAGTTGAATGGGAAAAAAAGAGAAAATGCTCCACTGCCAGCTTGCCTCTCTTAACACAGCATCATGTTTCTTTCCTCCCCTTTTTTTTAATAGAACTGTCTCTTGTGTTCCTCTGTGACTGTGTGTATTATTTACATTGGAGACTTGTATTGACAAAGTTTTTTTTGTTTTTTTTTAATAAAGAGGAAATTCTGCCAGAACTATGCCCAGCTGGTAACTAACAATCTCAGTTTGTTGATTAACTGCATTTTTGCCCATTCTACTCTAGCACTTAAGTGGGCCAAAGATACCAGATGAATGCAGAACAAATACAAGCTCCGAATACAGTTATAAGGCCCTTATAAAGAAAGCCTTGCTTGTGATAGATCCTGAATATATTTTTTTGGCATTTACCTATCATGCCTTGCCCTTCACATTTTCTTTTTACAACTGAAAGAGGAGATAGGCTTGAATAGATATTGATAGATAGTTTTGAATTTCTTGAAACAATATCTCCCAGGATGCACCAGGGGAACGGAACATCAAACCATCCCTAACCTCCACCCTGACTTTCTCTTGCTCTGCCTTTCTACCAGGACTGGACCGTCTTATCCTGGACCCTGTCGCTGCCACCCCATTACCCCACCCCACCCCATCTTAAAGTTTTCCACTGATGTCACCGCCTCATGCCAAACTATCTCGTCAGACAACAGAGGCTGAAACCAAAGACACGGACATGCGGCGTGCTACCTCCTTACAAAGCACTGTGTCAGGTTCTATACCTCGGTACACACACGTGTGACTCACTGACGAAATGTGTAGAAAAACGCTCCCCTGGGCTCTAAATACCATGCTGACATTTATACAGGCATGCTGAAAAGTGACAAAAAAACACAAGCCTCACTTTTATAGTCTAAGATCAAATGGCATCTTGTGACAATAGGATTAATTGTCATATTCAAATCACTCTGCGCTCTTTATTCACAACTGAAAAGTGAGCACCCCAAAAGAGGGTCTGCAAGCCCTACAAGAGTGAGGCTGAAGTACAAGTTGTGCAGGTAAATAAGATGACAGGACTGCAGAACATAAGGTCAAGGCGTGCTTTTCAGGGACAGGACAAGCAGAGTGTTGTCTTCCCTTGGTGTTGTGATGCATGGGGCACCGGGGGCAGACGCAGGACACAGCTAGCTGGCGGCCAAGCTCTGTTATCAGCCACTCACTCAGTCACTCACTCTGCTGGGGCCATTAATGTTTCAAAAAAAAAAAAAAAAAGTGCACATGGGACGCACAGTTGGAAGGGGTGTGGGTCTCAGAGGTCCAGATCAGCCGGTCTCAAAGGTGAGGACTGCCGCGAGCTTCACCGCACTCATACAAATGCTTCAATGTACTTTTCAGAGACACGCATTCTCGGCTTCTCAGCTCAAAATGCAGAAAACAAAGAGCGGAATTCAATCAAAGTTGTCTTTAGCCTCATGCTTTAAATGAGGAACTGCGTGCAGAAGCATTTCGCACATATTATAATTTACACATAGTCTGGCTTCAACAGCACCACAGGGAAGAGAATGGGTGCGATTATGAAAAGTTTTAACTGACCAAACTATAACACCTACATAAATATCACATCACACCCCCCCGCGCCTTATCTCAACCTGACACGTACAACATGCTACCTCTAAAACACATACTACTACGCTGTGTGCATACATCCACGAATATAAGACAAATGCACGCAAGTAAACAGAGTGAATGCTTAAAGTCCGCAAAGGTCTTACAAGGCATGGAGGATATGCTGATTTGCACCGTATCAATGCAGGTTTTGAAGCTCAATAGTTGACTTTTCAAGATAACTCTGTTGTGACTTCCTGGCATGATATGATGTCATCTTGCAATACTTTTAGCCTATCAACGTCCAATTTGCTTATGTCACCTCCAGTCTTTCCTGTGCAGGCTTAAAACATCTCACTAGGCCCAAACAGAAGCGGTTAACAGGTACTATGAACCTGTTTTCCAAGTACTTAAAACTAAATCCATGTGAGGTGTCATTGGTTTACAGTCTTTTGAAGAAACTTGATAAAAGATGAAGTTTTGCAATATTTAAACACTTAGATGCTATATTCGTAACCAAAGATCAGGACAATAAGCTTAATTTGTAACCCAAACACTAATGTACCTTACCTTGTGTTACTATTTCTAAGTTTGTATGGACTGAACAAATCATCACTTTAAAAAACAATCATAAACATTTACATTTGCTATACATGCAAATGGATGGATCTGAAATCTGATACATTTCTTTTACTCAATGAGTCCTCTGTCTTTGTTGTTAAAACACAAAACATTTTGTAAACCACCCATATGTCAGTGTGGGTGTAATCTTTGTTTCCTTGGTCAGTGGGTGCTGTTAGTCACATCACTATGTTAATAACAGAGAGAATGACATTACAGTGCCGTGCATGCTGGTAAAAGGGAACAGTGCGAGTGTGTGAGTGTGAACCCAACTGTGTCTTTTCACAGTATATTGGTAACGAGAGTGTGAAACCTATCTTCACACACATAAAAGCACACATACAAATACGCAGGAAAAATGCGTTGACTATTTTTGGTCATCGTTGAAGGTAAAGACCTAAACCAATTGGAATGGGACACATTACTTTACAGATGTCTTGGCATGCTAGTCTAACCATATTCAAATTCTAACCCTGACACATAAATTCTTCCCATAAAATATGCAAAAAACGAGTTTATCAGAACTCAAATCTCAGTGATGTCTCAACGTGATGCTTTCTGATTTTCGTTCTTCAATTAAAAAAAAAGAAAAAGACAGAATTAGGAAGTTTGGCCTGAACCTTGCAAAGGTTGAATGAATGCATGTGCAGGGGAACCTCGCAAGTATCAGAAAGTCCAAATGTTACTTCAACAAGCTTAAGCTCCTAAGAGATTACTCAGTTATAGAAGAGATCTCGGCAACGACTACCTTCAAAAGACCCTGTGAAGGACACGAAATCATCCCCACACTTCCACAGCATCTACAAACAATTATTAAGTACTACTCTGGGCATTTATTTACATGAACTAAACTATTCGTAAACTGTACACTCGCTGCAACACACATCTTATTCACTCACCCCTATCCTCCTCCACAAACCCATCCCAGGAGAGCTTTAGACTAATGCACACACACAAACAGACAACCCAGCAACCACTCAGCTGCGTTACCATTAGCTGCCCTGTTAAAGTCTCTCTTTTGTAAATTTTTATTGAACAAATTTGAGTTAATTTGTTTTTGTTTTTCTTTCTTTTTTTTCTGTCAGCTTGTGAGTTGGTGTGCTATCACCAGAAAATGACTGGTGAAAAAAAAAACAAAAAAAAAAAGTAATTCAAACAAATGTATAAAAATTTAATAATTTCTTCTCCGCTTGCTGCATTTGATCTGGCTCACATGGAGAGAAACACCCAGGAAAAGCAGAGGGACACAGAGAAAGGAGGGGAGAGAGGCTGAATCTCTGCCACATGGGTGAGAGAAAGACGAGGGGAAAGACGGAGGAGAAAAGAGGGGGCGGACGCACAGGAAGCACATTTGTATGCATTTCCTCTCATAACAGGAAGAGGCCAGTGGCTTCCCCTTCACAATGGCTTCGCTTCTGCTTCCCACCTCCTGCCTGCTTCCCTGGGGGAGGAGGAGGCGAAGGAAGAGGAGGAGTGGGGAGACAGGCACCAAAAAACTGCTGGTTAGCAAACCAAACATGGCCATGTGAAGACACACACATGCACACACACACACATAGATGTCAGTCACCTATGGAGCAGCGAGATTTGACTTGAAACAAACACTTATCCCATTGTCAGGGGCCGAGCAGGAAGACACGAGCTTACGCAAAAGGAATAAGAGGAGCCGAAGACCTTGGCTTGAACTTTGCCTCACAGCCAAGACGCTGTTAAGACAGGCATTACGACAAAAGAGGCTTTGTCCCACCTCTAATATATGCCGTGCTCTTCTCTCTCCTCAAAAACCCCACTCGTCATCCTATCACAGGGTGCACTGTACACCGAAGAGCGGGAGAGAGTGTGGTCCAAACGTTTTGTATCTTAATCCCACGTTAGTTAAAAAATTACGCGTGAAAGTTAATGGTGATAGCTTAATAATGGCAGGTACAACCATAGATGTCTTCAAGTCCACGCCAGTTTAGATTGTTTTTCTTAGCCGAGCAAGTAATTACATCTCAGCATGTTCTTCTTTATGCTGAAAAACCGCAACTGGAAAAGGATATACCCGCTGACTAAAAAAAGGGGATGTCACATTTGCAAGGCCCAAGTTAGTGGTCAGAAAGACAAAAATAACTTTGCTGTCATCCATTTGAAGGGTATAAACTGTCAGTGTGGCACTGAGGCCGAGGCTGTATACTTTATGCAAGGGATGCTATTTTTACTTTTAGCAGATTTTCGCAATAGGAAAATAAGTAAAAACAGGGAACTAATTGGTTTAAACTCATTTCACTTTATCTACATGTGTGTCTGATTGTTCCGGTAATCAGTTCGGAAGAAAACCACATTACCCCATTTTTTATTTTTTATTTTTATTAATACATGAGAACATTTTGGTGAGAGTGCAAATGATCTGCAGATTATGAGCTCATCTGAAAGTTATAGATGAAAAAAAAAAGTGAATAAAACCAAGGCCAAATAAAAAGGCTGGTGTCATTAGCAACAAACTTTTTATGGTATGCCCGCTATTTTTAATTTTTTTTACTTATCCAGCAAAATATGCTTTCATTAATACACAGATTTCTTTTAATAGATCAAAAAGGGATGAATTCCAGAGCACACAAAGGAAAGGAACTATCGAAAGCTATAACATTGATGCTTTGTAGTGGGGAGAGTGGATAGAGTGAAGTGACGAACTGGCGGATGAGACAAAAAAAAAATGAGCGGGAAAAAATGGGGGAAACAAAGTGAAGGTGAGAGCTTAGCGAGCCCACAGGTTAGCTGAACATACGATAGAAAGGAGTGCCACTCGGTGTGGTAAATGAACGAGATGGTAGAAGGTGGGAAACAGGGAATTAGAGGAGGGGTGCAGGGGTGAGGAGCTACCCTGTGGGCCTCATTATTTTCCTGCTGTTAATGTCACTCGCACATTTTCTCACCCTGGTACTGTTGATTGGAGGGAAGAACGCTTTGTCGTAGAAACAAAAAGACCCTCTTACTACAGCGACAGCGGTGCAGTTAACGTGGCTCTCTTCACCAGAGAGAAATTTTTTTTTAAAAACACACCAAAAAACAAAGTCACAGCATTTTTAAAGCTTCTTTTGGCCGAGTGTGTGCTGGTATGGCTGTTGTTTGGGGGAGTTGGGAGATCCTCATGTTTTACTTCCTGTCACTGATGACCTGATACATGTTTAACCTTTGGCCTCAGGTCCCTTCCCCCATGAAACCCATATGTCCGACACAAAGACGCACACACACAAACACAATGATTCACACAAACAAGTCATCCTAAATTAAGCCCACTGAGCAGACTGGCTGGAGAGGTAACACTAATTAGAGCCAATTGCAGCAAATTAGTCGATGCACAACACGGGCTCCAGAGAGATAGATGTGTTTTTAGATGTTTACATGTGCATACACATATGCGTTTGTCACTGCTGCGTTAACAAAGGCTCCAAATGAACCGTCTAAGGTGTGTGCTACGATCGGTCTACGCCCATGGTGTCGACGCGTGCGGGCGCGTGCGCACACCTGTACGTTTAACTTGTGTGCGCCTGTCCATCTGTGCGCGTTTGCAAGCTGGCTCAAGAGTCTGCTCTTTGTGAACAGCCCATGAGTTTATGACACAGGGGGCTCTTTCATGTGCCCGAGGCTAGGAGAGGGTCTGAGTGGTCGGGCGGCTTGGAGCCAGGGCTCACACACTGCTGCCCACTGTCCAGCACTTCGGGCAGCCAGTCAATGCCAGGGAGGCCTGGCCCCTCTGCCACTGCTCTTGGGAAGTGTTTCGGGGCCTGGAGGTGGCAGCCCAAAGTGGCCGCCCAGAGAGAGCCAGGCCCTGTGCCCAATATGATGGTGCAGCTGCATGGAGGGCAGGGGTGAGGAGGCACTAAAGCCCTGTAGGTGGAAAGGTAGCGTTGACAGCTACACAGAGTGGTGCCACTCCAAAGAGGGCTGCGTTAGAAAGAGTGTCATAACCAAGGAAATGTTACAGTCGCTCTATATATTGTATTGAACGACAATGCAGGAATTGCGCCATATCCTGTTTTGTTTTTTATGCAACTCCCAAAACTTTTGGAAATGAATATTATGGAAAATAACAATATATTTTATTTTATAACAATATTCAAACAAGATCGTAACCTGCTAAGGCTGTAGAAGGGCTTTCAGAAACACGTAAAACACTGAAAGTATGTGAAGAATGTGAGGTCAAAAGCAACACTGCAAAAAGTCCTCTGGTGTTTATTTGGCTCAGGCTCTGGGACATTTCCTCAAAAAGGAAGTGAAAATATGTAAAGCTTGAGCTTCTGGTTTTTTTTCTTTAAAAAAGAAAATTTAAGTTTCTGTGTCTGTCTCCGTCCCTGTCTTGTGATATCCGCCTCTTCAAAACACGGTGATGTCATTTTTATTTTAGGCTGTAGGTTTTATGACATTATGCTCCACAGAACATGTGGTGCTTTCCACATGACTCGATGATACAATATCAGGAGGAATCGAAATCGCTTAAAAGCAACAACGAGTACATAATATCAACGAGCACTCTATGGTTTTAAGGATCAAAACAACAAAATCCTGCGATATATTGATTTTCTTTTCCCAATGAACCCTTTCTCTCTCCTCAGTCTCTTCTCCTGCCTCCTTCTCCTCTCCCTGTAAGTGAAGCCCGGATATCTCAGGCATCGATTTCCCTCAGGTGTCCTTCCTGTCTCCCTCTTTCTCTCCTTTTCCTCAGGAGTCGAAGAGCCCGGGCCCATTCTTAGGTGGGATAAGAGAGGAGGGCTGAGATAACAGCAAGGAGGAAGTGTGGGTGCTGCTGAAACACGATAGTTTTAGTCCTCATCTAAAACTCGGTGACCTCTTCCTTGCTCTTTCTTTGTTTCTCTGCCTGTCTGTCCGTCTGGCTCTCTCAATAACAAACAAAGATATACCATCTCACATCCTCCATACTTTTCAAAAACTGTCTCTATACATGACTCTTGGTTACACTCTTTCTTTTTATGCTGCATCTGTGATTCTGAGAAACAACATTTCTGATGTGACCTTCTTCGAGTCCAGCACGCAAACTTTCTTACACATTTCCTATTATCTTCTTGTTTCTTGCAAACACACTTGAGCTTAGTCACGACAAGGGCCAACATCTACTTCAATTACTCCCCCGGCACACTCCAATCAATTCACCGAGCCTTTGCTCCGGCCACATATGACTGTGTTTGATAAAAGCACATTGTGAAATGGCTCAGAAATACTATTGAGAATGTCACGCGGTGTAGAAGTCTCAAGCAGCATTGAAACGGATTGTGTTCAGAACTATGTGTGTGCTGGTGTGTGTGTGTTTGACCTGTGATCCGGGGGCCACATTAGCAACGTATGGATCCAATTGGGCTGCCAGGAAGCTGACAAAGTGTCAGTGGTCAGCTATGCCACAGGAAGTGATCGATTGTGGGCCTCAAGGGCAGTGAGAGAGCTCTGTCTCCTGCCTGAGACAGTAGTGTCCACAATTTATTATCCCAAGTCTCAAGTGATGCCAGCTGTCGTTAAGAGGATTCTTTGACTCTTAACATTGGTTGTTGACATTTTGTTTTAAATTAATGTGTATTATTCTAGGCAGAGGAAAGCTACAGCACTTCCACTGTTACTGATTTAGCTCGAGAAAAATAGCATTTCAGTGTTTGCGTCCCAGTGTGTCATTTCAGACCATCCCGAACCCTCTGTTTGGTTGTTTGTTTATATTTTCCTCCACCCTGCCTCACTGGTGGTACCACCCTCTGCCCGGTAATATTCCACTGGCAGGGAGCTAAACAGGGTGGCATGGTGTGAGGGCTTGGGTGTGTGAAGGGTGCTTCAGTTGAGCGTAGGCTGCACCCCTCAGACTTCTCTGCGATATGCAGAATGTGCTTTAAAAATCCCAACAGTTTTAAAGCAAAATCCATTTTAGGAAACACTGTACACTCCTCGTGTCCTCACACTGGATTGTTAGATTGAAGGGAAACAAACATTGCTATTCTAAGCCGATGGAACTCCTCCACCAAAAGCAATATCTGTACTTTCCCTGCAAGGACTGCTCTGTCTCCCAGCTTGCATATTGCCCAGACTCCCAGAAACCTTCATTGTTAAGAGCTATATGGGGTGTAGGGTGTTTCTCCTTCCTCCCTCCTCCACCCTTTTCTCCCCCATCCTCATACTCATCCATCCTCCCATCCCCCCGGGACTTACCTGTCTGTTGCGTTCATCCATAATCCGCGTGATCTGAATCTTTTTCCTCCCCATCGTCCCCGTCTCTTTCTTTCTCTCCTCTTTCTAAAGAACTTCAAGCTTTCTTCTCTCTTCTCTTTCTTCTTCTCTTCTCTCTCTCCCGTTTCTCTTCACGTTTCCGCTCTTCCTTTGCTTTGTCTTTTCTTCTTTTTTTTTCCTGCTTTCTATTTGTTTCAATCAACTCAAAGATTCCAGCATCTGTACCTGCAAGACAGAAGGGAGGGGTCGGGGAGAATAAGCATTAAATGAAATGAAATATGGCAAAATACTGAGAGGGAAAAAAAAATAATAAAAGTGGCATCGTGGCAGCCACAAGGGAGGGTGAAGAAAGACAAAGAATCTGTCAACAATGTTGTGAGAACCGCTGTGTTTTTCACTGTCGATATCATGCAAATCAGTTTTTGCATTTTTTTTTCTTCCTAGGCACCGACTATGAGAGGAGACAGCACTGTCAGGATCTCGCCTCGTTCACAGAGAGTTTGACAGTGTTTTGGAAGTGCCGCTAACTTAAACGCTCTAATCACCAACACTGTAACATTACCTCCACACTGAGAAATACATTTTGTTTCTTCCCATGAAACTGCACTGTATTGACAGTGGAGCTGCCAGCCGCGACTTTTTTCTACTCTATCTGCAGCTCATCTCCAAAATGGCAGATGCAATATGCTAGGATAGTATACAGATGTAAAAAACGAGGACCTAAGAGTGTTGCCATGTTCTGGTAAAACAAAGCCTTTGTAAAAATAAGTAAAATGTGGCAACATAACAGTTTGATACACAATGGTTTCTTGGAGAAAAAAACCCTTGCATGTCCGGAAGATATCGGAGTAGCCAATAAACGCGTGCACAGTTTAATGTGAGTGTACCTGTGTTCCAGAGGTGCAGGCCAGCAGCTGAAGCGCCGGACTGAATGGGCGGAAGAGCAGAGTTGCGCTCCGAAAAGTTTGCATGACTGAGCGACTGTGTGCGTGTGTACACGTGTGCATGTACATCTGTGTGTGTGCGTGCGCATAACTGTGTGCTCTTGTGTGAGCTTGGCTAAGCCAGAGCTCCAGTGCATCTCTCCAGAGTGCTAAAGTAGGCCAACCCAATCTATCTCAGGGAGGAGCAGAAGAACTGTTGTTGTGTTTTCTTTTGACAGTAGAGGTGATAACGTCCCTCGTTATGCAAATGAGCATCCCATTATTTAAGCTCAGTGCAATGCAGGGGAGCTGTCAACGCCGTCACATGAAAAAAAAAATAAAAAAATCCTCCATCTACCCTGCCTTTTTTTCTCTACTTTCCCCTTCTTCTCTCTTCTCTCCTTTCTGAACCAGATTTCCGGCACCTGGCAGCACAAGCATCAGACATTGATGTGGAAGACGACACCGCTTCACCAAAAGACATGTCAGTCTCAGTCTCTCTCTCTATCATTCTCTCTCTCTCTCCTTTTTCTCAAACACCCTTGCTCTTTTCCTCACTCTCTCATATTCTCTCCTTTGCGCACTCCTGCACACATACCTGCACATTGTAATGCACTTCCTTTCCTTTTTTTTTTTTTTTTTTTTTTTTACCTCCTGCTAACCTGAATCCATGTATTTATTGAGTAACATGCACAAGAAAGATCTGAACCCCTCAGGTGAATGCAGCACATTGCTATGCACTTGACCTTTTTGTGCTAGAGAGTAGGACATTGATAATGAAAACTCATAATAGAGACATCCAGGGATGCAGTGGCTCTTAATAACAGACCAAGGCCTGTAGCGCAAGCAAGGCTGTAGCTATCTTTTCCGTTTGCAGCATGAAATGCAGGCTCTGTGCTTTATTCATGACTCAAAATTTAGAATCCTGCATTATAATTGAGGCCTTCTCAGTGTATGTATGCGAAACACGGATTTAGTAAGTATATTACATTGTATTAAAGAAACAGCATTGCATTGATTTTTATGGATTTTATAAGATTGCCTGCCAAAAATGTCCATCACACAAAAACTGAAAAAAGTGAGACAATACAGTCTCAACAATAATGAAATGCATGACAAAAAACTTCCTGAGATGATGGTTTGGAATACACCCACTCATGGAAGAACTGAGATACGAACATAAATGCGTCATTTGGCAGTTAGGACAACAGCCGGACTGCACCATCATAATAATAACAAGATCTAAAATAACTCTGTGGCAGCTCTGAAGAGGCTATCCAAAACATTTTAGCATTGCTCTGTGCAAACACACCCATCCGTAGACAGACACACAAAGAGCTGCCCTGTGGAAGAAAACAAAAAAGGATGTTGTCAGACAAACTAGGATTACAAGCCAACACTAAGGCGCTTGGCACAAGACAGCCAGACAAGGATATCAATCAAGCCAGCGTACCTCAATCACAGGCTGACAGCATCATCCCCTCCCAGTCTTTGTACTCAACACTACCCAGCCCGGGCATCGCTCCAAACAAGGAGGCGTTACCTTCATGATCCCTGCCTCCTGGCCTGCACCTCCTCCGTGTTCCTCCTACAGCACGCTGAGCAGAGTTGAACCTCTCAATGTCAACACCCGCTGGGGCAACACCTTAGGCCTTACGTAACATTAACACTAAGATTAAGCTCGTGTCCTGAACATTTAATCCCCGCTTTTGGCTCTGAGCACCAGCCAACGCTCCCTGAGGTGAAGCTCTGCTGCTGCTTACCCCCATGTTGGTTCCTCTTAACTTCACCCAGCCTCCTTCCCCATCCCATCTTTTTCCTGCTTCCTTTGCCTCCTCCTACACAACAACAACAACAACTCAAGTTTCCCCCCCCCCCCACTTCCCCTGCCAGTGGCGGACTCCCTCAG